CACAGGCTGTCTTCGTACTCTAGGGTCGGAATTAATAGTGAACCATTCGTTGATTTTTTCCGGCTGGTATGGAAAACGGTTGCACTTGGAGAAAATATTTTCAGTGCAACAACGAAGATGTAGCACCAAACATTTGAGCGAGAAACCCACTTGGCTTGGCAGCCCAAATGTCGCTAAGGCTTCTGCTGTTAGCTGTCTTAACAATTCCAGAGTCACTAGGAGTGACTGGGCAGTTTGTCGACAGCAGCTTGCATGGGCTTTCTTCAGCCATTCAACCCAACCTTTGCCAGCCACATTTAAGCTTAACACGCTTGAATCGAAGTCAGCCATTTTCTTGTGTGCATAGCGTACACATGCACCATGATTAATAATTGATTATAGTCTTAACTTCCTAAAGTGAAGTCTGGCTGTATTTTGAAAATAAAAATTGCCTGAACAATTTGGGAGATTTCAAAATTTGACGATTACTATAACCAATACCATTCAGTAACGCTGGAATGTGAAGGGAAAGAACTTAAAGTCGATCTAATGATTGTTAAACTGCTTCTGTCGAATCCTAGGTATTTCGCACTCTTTACTAACCTTCTCGTCACAATTGGCACAATGCTTGAATTCGTAAGCGAGAACAACTTAATTAAGATATGTTTTGGGGGCTCCTAGTCGGCATTCAAAAAGCTGTCGTTTTCCAGGTCATCCTAAAAAAACGTATTTAATGCGGCAAACGTTCAGAGCTTTGATTTCTTATAAAAACTTTCACTTTTTACTAAAATGTGTAGTGATTTTCACTGACCTTTAATAGAAATAATTTTCCCGCAATGATATATTCTCTGAATTCTCCCTTTGTTCTAATCTGTCTAATACAAAGTTTGTTTTTAGCAGGTGAGGCTAGGGGCATTAATCAACATTCCGGTTAGCGGATAGAACTGTTTTTGTTTCCTGGGAAGGGTCGTCTCAGTAATGAGGCAAAATTAGACCTAAGATTGCTCACTAGCGTTTTAGGAGTTTAGCATTAAAAAGAAATCGAACTTGGGCGCTCTTATCTTTGGCTACTAGAAAGATATGCGGCAGCCTTTGAAATTTCCAGTTTCAACGAGCTCTCTTAATGGGTTCTTGGATGCCAGCTGAAGATCTGATCGACGTATGTATGTTAACCGCCACCCGTGGGCCAATTCATTATTAATATGATAGTCCCATTTGAAAAATTTGAATATTTACACGTTGTCTCTTGAAGCCATACTACGAGGAAAGACATGGATGTTACTTGTAGTGTATTAAGTGCTTTAAGATCTATTTTCGATTCTGTAAGATTCAACATTGAACACCTCGCAGAGAAATATCCACCTCAACGTGGGATTACTGTTGCCGAAAAGGTTGAAAGTTCTCCCAAACGTTTAAAAGTCGAGGAGGTAAATCGAGACGTTCAGCTGGAGGCTCTCACGTTGATCCTCAAACTTTGGCTGCGAAGAATTCATCTCACTGAGGAGGAAGGAAGAAGGGCACTTCGAAACTTTGAAGCCGAAATTAACCTCACTCAAAAGAATGTTATTGAGCCATACAAAGCCACTTTGCTTTCGAGTGAATCTAAAGAACCAGAAGAGTTACTAATGGGAAAATTGGACAAAAGTTTGGAGAGAGCTTGTACAAGACTGTTGACAGAAATGAAAAAAACAAATTTTGAAATGCTCGAGGAGGACCAAAGGAGATTGAATATGGAATCGGCCTTTGTTAGTTCTCTACTTGGACTTAAACTTGACTTTCTTGATTGCCTGGAGGAAATGGAACCAGAATTTCGTGATCACTGGACACTTAAAGAGTGGATAGTTACTTTCCTCCAAAACAATTATCGTTCTATGGAGACGAGAGACAAAACCTCGCCCACCAAAGATCTGCTTGGAGAGATGGGTTTTGATCCATCGAGCGCAGCCATTGAAACTATCCTTAAGCGTGCCGATGAAATGCAACATCACATTGAAGCGTGCGCGTGGGCTGAAATTTTCATTGCCGACGAGTTTAAGTACAACCCTTTGTTGTCTCCTTTTGTTCCAAAGTTTTCTGTTGGTGAGTCATCGGGATTTCATCTCCCAAACAAACCTGGCGAAGAAAGTGAAAATGGCGAACAACAGTGTCAACTCAAACCTGAAATTGTCTCCTTCGTGTGGCAGGAACAAGCCGACTTTCTCGGAATCTCTCAAGATGTTCCTTTTGTCCCACATGCGCAAGGCTCTATCGGAATCCACGCTCGCGATTTTCTAAGAGATCGTGGACTGTCAGATGACCAACGATACATGCTTCTGTTTCACGGCACAGATCACCAAAGTGCCGCCAACATTTTAAACAGGGGAATATATCTACCTGCTGGAAGACAGAAGCGCGACTTTAGCAGTGGAAAGGGATTTTATGTTACAACAAGTTTGGACCATGCGTTCAAGTGGGCGAGAAGCACGACTTCAAAGCCCGCCATATTGACTTTTCAAGTCGAGCGCAATGATCTTCTGAATGCTAAAAAACTGGATTTGACCAGTAACGTAGAGGAATGGAAGAAAACTGTTCATTACTTTAGGTCAGACGAGGGACCGGTCTATATAGGAAAAGAAATAACAAAGGCGTACGACTTGATTGAAGGACCCATGGCCACAGCGAGCAGTTCAAGCGAAACAAGTGACCAGTTGATGTGGCAGCCAAAACATTCATCTTATCAACTGTGCTTGATTTCAGATGAATTTGCCAAGAAGTTCTCTCAAACCTTGCATTTGATTCTGCTTTTGTAAATTTTGGCCCCTCTCATTGGCCTAAAGTTGTTAAAGATGTCGAAGCTGAAAAAGGAACAATTTTTCAGCATGATTAAAGGGCGGTCCGGGTTCGAGTCCTGGCCGGGGACATTGTGTTGTGTTCTTGGGCAAGACACTTAACTCTCACAGTCCTCTCTCCACCCAGGAGTGTAAATGGGTACCAGCGAATTGTTGGGGAAACCTAACAAATTGCAGAGGAGTGACCTGCGATGGACTAGCTTCCCGTCCAGGGGGAGTAGAAATATTCCTAGCCGCCCCATGCTACAGAAACCGGGATAAGCTCCGGCAGCTATGAGCCAGTCGGCTCCAAGGCTTCACTTTATTTCAGCTTATATGAAGCAAACATCCCTGATCTGTCAGTATTTCAATAATAAAGAATCCAGAATTTCCATATGAAGAAATTAAGCGAACGATTTTATCAGATGGCTTTTTGCCAGCAGAGCGTTTTAGAATCCTGACTTAAGGTGAATAGTTCAATTTCCATCTGTAATTGAAACAAGTATTAATAATAAAACAAACAGTACATCACGTGATAATAAAACAAACATTACATCATTAAAAAAAACTATGAAATAAACATCAATTTGAGAATGTGCATTTATTTCCTCGACAGATGCTTTTAAGACACGCAACAATCGTATTTCCAATCAAAACCTTTCGGAAACCGCTC